ATGGCCCGTAACTGTTTGGTAAGAGGTTGTCTCAGGACATCTCTTATTCAAATGAGAGAAAAACAGTCTGAACACTGTGGGGCACTTTCTGTTTTATCTTTCATAATGAAATTCTTATTAAGCAGCTGGCTTATTCAGGACCCTGCAAAGCTTGATTAGTAGTTTCATTTCATATTTAAGATGGCCAGACAGAACTGTTTTAATTACACTGCAGATGTTCTCTCAACAGTCTCTCGGGAGTCGGGGGCAGAGTTTGAAAGAACTTTTTTTTTTTCTGTCTTTCTTTATTTTGGATCTTTTTATTTGCATCTGTCTGTTTTTGTAAAAGTTGCAAAAAGTGTAATGGAGAAAGCAGATGCAGCTGGCTGCTGCTTAGAAAAACCCAACGGCAGATTAAAGCTTCTAATTTGGGATTAAACGAGGAAGTTCAAAACTTCTGATCACTTCATGTTCACAGAAGTTCATATTTCTTGATCAAATATATTTGTTTCTGAGCCTGAATAAGATTAATAAATAAGTTCATCTTAATAATGAATAAATTAAGTGACTTTTACTGGGAGCATTTATTTTAGGAAAATAAATCCTGATGAGGGAAACTATGGGCTACTAGTCATGAACAAGCTAAGAAGATACACTTCAAAATTTGTGGAATAACTAAAAGAAAAAATCACATATTTCTTACATGCAAGTCAAAAGCTTTCTCCGTTTAAAAGAAAGCTAAATAAGAAGAGTGATTGTAAGTGCTACACGCTAATGTAAAATGCTGATTAGGACTGCTGGTTTCAGCCTAAATTAACGTTCTGCAAAAAATTCATGGAAAAAGTGAAATTGTGGATTGAGGAAACTAAGAAGTGCATTAAAGTCGTGTTCGGGACAAATGTGGGCAAAATCATTTTTATTACAGCTGCAGTCTGCAGTTTTTCCTCTTTGTCGCCATCTCTGTTCGAAATCTGCAATTGCAGTCATTCACGGAATTATCAACTTTAAAGGGATACTCCACCGTTTTTTTTTTTTTTTCATATTAAACTATGTTATTCCCTTAACGAAGACGAGTTGATGCATACCTCTGTCATCTGGCACTCAATCGCTCTGGCGCGCGAGACACTTTGATAGCACTTAACTAGCCCCGTTCATTCAATATGGGCCAAGCAGAAGAGCGACCAAACACCTCCACATTTTCCCTATTTAAATACAGTTACACATGTAGTGTAAGGTCGCGTTACGGTGGAGTGGCGTGCTCCGCTTTCTGTGGTAGCCAGATGGAGATCAGAACTTGGATGAGTATCTATTTGGAGTCATTACTGGTCATATCTTTTTCTTCTGTACTTGATGATTCATTGCAAATATAACAAACCTAAGTTATTTTTACTTGCAAGATAGAGCCTTCATGTGCTTGAATTGTAGAAATTACTTAGAAATGCTTGAATGAACTTATTTAATGTAGAACAATTCGCTCTTATCTGCTTCATTCATTTTTTCAAGGTAAGATTTCCACTGCATTTTCAAGAATCTGTGCTATGGGCACTACACTCTGGGATGAACAATTGATCTGTGTAAGTTCAGTAACTGGAGGTTTTGGTGTAATTAAAAGATCTTTAGCCAGTACAAAAGCAGGGTCAAGAGTCCCCGTGAGAAGGCAGATAGAGATGTCTGAACAACACGAGGGATTGACTGCAAACACGAGGAAGGAGGGACACTAGAGTACTAGCACTAAATGAGGGGATATAATAAGGGAGACAGAGGTTCTCAAAAGGGAGACTGTGATTTACCAGACCCCAATTTACCAGAATTCAACACTTCAGTGCATTCTCTAATTAAAAAATTAAACCAAAATTTTATAATAAAGATATCGCACAGAGGCCTTTCAAACGCTTAATCCATGATTAAGAAAATTAAAGTGTTTAATTTGCTTAAGAGGGAACAAACACTTCCCATCTGTTAGTTTCTCTCCAGAGATTCGGTGGTACATCAGGGAGAAGGATTTGCCTTGAGGATAATGTCTTCAGGGACTATGCCGTTTATAATGGCTCCTAGGGAAACTTAAGAAACACTGTTATAGAAATAAGTTATTATATCTGCTCGATTATGTAAGCATGTTTGGGTTGTTATAAAGTATAGCTGAGTGCCTGGCAAAGGTTTCTTGGTAAAGGTTGTGTATTGGTTATCTGGTGTTTGTACTGATTTTCCTTATTTACAACTCTTTAATTACAACATTAGCTCATGCTGGTAAAAAGTTATCAATGGAATTTTGAACCATTTAGCAGTGACATTTGTTATGTTGCTCATTATGACTGTTATGCTTATATATTGTGTGCATATTCCAAACTTCTTAACTTTGTACATGTGGAGAACAATTCATTCTGCATTTGCTCAAATCCAGCTCTTATGGCGACTGCCCTGCAGAATTTCACTTAAACCCTGATGAAACTCTATCAGTTTCCATCCCTGTAATATATTAGCTCTTGTTAATTTGCATAACTATGGTTTGCTAGCAGTATAGTTTTATATTATTACATAGTGCATAGCAGTCTGTGAAATACTCATAGATCTTTAAAAGTTTATTTAACTTTTAATATACCCCCAATACATTTTTTAAGTTGCCAGTTAGGATTAAATCTATTGCTGTCCATTTAAAATAACACAAATGTCAAGTCACTAAGCCAAGGCTTAAAAATGAAGAAAACAAAAATCAATGGGTTCACTCCGAGCAGAATCAGTATTTTTCTGTTCTGTTACACTTCCGAAAACTGCCTATACTTTATACCAGAGCTTGAATATAACTTTATATATTAAATGACATGAACTTCCCACATTGCTACAATCAACTTTGTAACCTGAAGTTGAAGAAAACATAATGCATAAACTAGATGCAGCCATTAATGACTATCAAAAAAAAAAACAAATCTCTGACAGGCGCTGGTGAAAATCTCCATTTGAGCTGGATTTTTTTGGAAAATGTTAGTAATATAATGACGCATGCAAGTGCCACAATACTTAGCTTTGACAACATGGTGTTGAATCTTTTTTTTAAATTCTTATTTAAAACCATATTCTACACTAACCTGCAATTTTCGCTGGTTTCAAAACACACCATACTGGAAATTACCTGCCATTCATTTTCATTATACTTTAGTGGTTGATGACATAACCTTGGAAAAAATCCTGAGATCCAAAAGCAAATGCCAGTGATTTACCTATGATGATTTGACAGCTGAGCGTGGGCATTTTAGTCACGCTGGATACATTAACGTCACATTTGCATGGGCTGTACCATTTTAAATTTATGATTGGTTGACTGACAAATTAAATTAAAACGTTTCTGATTATGTTCCTGCTCAAATTTTGTTCATTTCCGTTTTTTCATTTTCTTTTTCATGAAACGGTTCAGAGCCCTGGAGCACAACAGTTCACACAAATACACTATTTAAAAGATTAGAAGGCTACCAAGCGGCAGCATTCTAATCTGAAAAATGAAGTCTACCCAGAAGTGCGAAAAACTGCAATACATCGAAAATCCGCTATGGGAGGTCCCAAAAGGGAGCAAATATCCATGTTAAAATGTCAATTTTCACAACGTAAATTCATGTTTTTACAGGTTGGTCCAATTGACTTTTATTGTATTTTTCAATAGGTTTTGAGTGCTTAACACGTGTGAGGGGGGTGAATTGTTTTCTAAATCTTTAGTTTAGAATGCATTTAGAGATAAAATGTATGACAAATAAGGGTGTGGTTAACTTTGATTGACAGCTTGATTGACAGCTGATAACGGGCTGCGCCGAGTGGAATTTCCGAAATGTGACATCTCGGCCATGATCTGACACAACACATCATACCACCTCGGTATTCTTTCTGAACATTATTGATATATCATGCATAACATGGGTTGCTCTGTTCACTGTAAAAAAAAAAAAAACAATGAGTAAAGTTTTACTTTTTTAAGCCAGTTTTTGCTCTGATATTTTTTGAGTACATTTCACACATAGAATGAAGTAAACTATACTTATCTAAGTTAAGTGAAAGTGACATAAGAAATTAAGTAATTTTTATTTAGCTAATTAAATGTTAAGTCCTATTTATTTAATTGAATTTTTCTTTATACAACATTTCATTCAAACAATATAACATTGAATTAGACCACAGTTTTTAAGTATATGATTTACAAAGGAATGTTTAAGTAATCAATATATTGTGTGTGTCACTGTATCTTCTTTTCTGAAGTTAAATGTGTGAATACAGACCTCAATACTTGGTAGGCAATACACAATGATGGTAACAATTGATGGATCATTTTTGTTTTTGAATGTGTCATTTTAAGTAGAAAATTAACTCTGTCACAAAATGGCAAGTTACTAATCCCAACAACAAAATCAATGATAAAATTTTGTAAATACATATGGAAAACAGTGAAAAATAAACCATATTATTATTATTATTGACCCAGTGTATGATGGTATAACCAGTATCAGAAAAGTTGACTAATTTTACTTAATTTTATAATGTTGATATTTACGTTTTCATTTCTACGTGATTGAAAACAGTACTACTACACTGAAAAAAACTACTTGTAAGATTTACTTAATAAAATCCTCGTAACAATTTGCACAAGTAAATTTTAAGTAAATTTTACTGCTATAATATTAAGTACAACTCGCGTGCCATTATCAAGTAAAATCTACTTAGTATTGAACAAAACTCTCATGAAGAAATTAAGTAAAAAATACCCATTTACATTTCATTTAGAAGCTATATCTATTTAAAGTAATTAAGTAAAGTTTATTTATTGTTTTTAAATTAGGAAGCTTGCTTTTATGAAATTTTTAAGTAAATCTTACCATTTAATAAAGTAAAATAAGTAGATATTATTTAAGTTTTTTTGTTGAGATTTTCATTTACTACATATTTAAACATTTAAACATTGATAATTTCTTTTTTTATAAATAATCATGAACATAAATAAATAATCATTTTCTCAATATTTTTCACAAATCACACAACTAAAATTCAATTAAACAGTTTATTTTTCAGTCATCAAAAATGTTCATACAAGAATGGACATTCAGTCATCTCTTGACACAGGTGCATTCAGTAAAACTGTCTTTACGGTATTGCTGCTTCCAGCATTTCCTTCCCTTCAAAAAGGATGGATACATCGATTGGATCTTCTCCATCAGCACCACTAACGACCAGTATTTTAATGCTGTGCTGAGTGATGTCACTGCCGCTGTCCTCCTGCATACAATTTAGAAGAAAAAATATAATTCTTTTGAGAAACAAAAATATAATGGCTTAAATTATTTTATTTGACTTGCATTAAAGGACAAGTTCGGTATTTTACAATTAAAGCCCTGTTTTAAGATCGTCCCTGATGAAATAGAATAGTTAAGATTGTTTTTTAGACAGATGCTCCGGTCACGAGAATTTTTGGATTCTGTGTTAGCACCCCCCCACCTTTATAATGAAAGCATAGGTGCACTCGAACAATCATTCATTAAAACGCATAAAACTTTAGTTTACAAAGACGTGAAACTCACCGAGTGGTCTGGGGTGTTCACTGATATGCTCACACAAAAATCGCTGTAAAAGATGCTTTCCAACAGGTTTTATCGTAGTTTTTGTCCAAGTCCATTTTCTTCCTGTTTTTGGTCGAAATCCACAGTAGTCGATTATCGAGTTTGCGTGCGCGATCCTTAGTTATCTAGTTCGAGTTTGCGTGCGCGATCCTTAGTTATCTAGTTCGAGTTTGCGTGCGCGATCCTTAGTTATCTAGAGAGTTTGCGTGCGCGATCCTTAGTTATCTAGTTCGACCGAAAACAGGAAGAAAATGGACTTGGACAAAAACTACGATAAAACCTGTTGGAAAGCATCTTTTACAGCGATTTTTGTGTGAGCATATCAGTGAACACCCCAGACCACTCGGTGAGTTTCACGTCTTTGTAAACTAAAGTTTTATGCGTTTTAATGAATGATTGTTCAAATGTGCACCTATGCTTTCATTATGCATATGAATTCATGAAATGAATAGTGGAATAAAGTCATTATGTTTGCGCACAAAAAGTATTCTTGCCGCTTTATAAACTTAAAATTGAGCCACTGCAGTCACTGCATGACTACTTTGATGATGTCTGTATTACCTTTTCTGGACAAGGACGGTATATCATACATACATTGTATTTTGAAGAAAATGGGATATCAAACAGTTGACTGTAGCCATTAGAAATCTACTATGGAAGTCAATGGCTACCGTCATTTGATTACCAACATTCTTTTAAAATATCTTTGTTTGTGTTCATCAGAAGAAATAAACTCACAACGGTTTGGAACAACTTGAGTGTAAACAATGTTTACACAATGTAAACAATGACAATTTTTATTTTTGGGTGAACTATCCTTTTTAGGGTGCTATAAACTGGAGTGCAGTTTTCTGTGAAATAAATTTGACTCTGTTTAACCTTTCACACGCAACTTTAAAATATTCTAGCTGACCACCCAGTGTGCGACTTTCATTTTAAAATATATCTCCTTATTATTTCCATGGCGACGTTTCGTGATTGTGAAAATGAAAATGATGTCATTAATGACTCACCCTCATGTCGTCCCGAGCCCGTCAGAACTCTGTTCATCTTCAAAACACAGTTTATCATCTTCTTTATCGTCAAAGTAGAGAATGAGGCTGCGGATAACTGATTCCCATCTCAAGGCTTTGTGTCTGTGAACAGATTTATATTGTACCATTACACAACCTTTTATTCATACACAATGAACTCAATGAAATCAAGTGAGAACACAAAAGCATTCATGCGCAAGGAACACTGATTTGAGTACTTAGAGCAAAGTGACTCTACTTCCTGTTCCTGTCTGCCTTGCATTTTGGCCAAAGCAGAACTGTCGCTGAAACTCTTATCATCTTCAGTACAGATTCTTAATATTTGAAATTTATGTTGTAATTTATGACTAAAATTCTAATTACTGAAATTTCTGAACTTTTGACTTTTGTCTGTTTAATACAGTAAAGCTACTTTAATGCAATCTATATTGTATTAAAAGCTATACAATAAATGTACATGCATGTATGAGAAATACATTAAGTATATCTTATTTAAAAAAATGTGAACAAGCACACTTTTGATCAAACACACCTGACTCAGTTTGTCCAGAAATGGCCTCAGTTGGTCCCCACAACACCTCCCATGGCCTTCATCAGGGCAATAAGTCTTGATGTGCATTGGTCAAGTCTGAACATGAATCTCTGCCCCATGATCGATTCTCCTGAATTCCTCCTTGATCTAATGTGACAAAATGATTCAAGAGTACAACAGCAGAAATTTGGTTAAATAGACTGATGCAGGGAGCAAGGGTTAATTATACAAGGACTGTAGATATCAACAGTGGAGTGAACAATCCAGCACTTTCTTTTGTAATGTGCAAATCCAAAAGAGAAACACTAATTTGGCATTTCAATTTTAACTTTGAGTTTAGTACATTTCAAGTTTATTTATTTTTTCATGTGCTAAATCAGTTACTGTTGTCAATATTAATATTGCCCATGATTGCCACTCACGATCTCTATTTTCTACAATCAACTTTTAGAAACAGGATGATTTTAGAAACGCAGCCCTGCTTACTTTAAGACCTCATTTATGCACGATTTAGTGCGATTGAAAAAAAATAGCTTTATGTGTAAACGTTCCATCCTGAGCAATATTCAGCAAGAGCATTCAAACTTTTCCATAGTCAACAGTATAACGTTAAGAGCGGTTGACATTAAATTGTTAATTTTAAGGCCCAATTTTAGCTAGCTAGCAGTTAAAACGGTAAAGATTGTCTACTAATTTCTACTTAGTTTGACATTTTACACGAAAAACAGTTCTTTGTGAATCTATAAAACTATTGAAAACTTCCGATTCAATATAAATAATGTACGTTAACGTTAGGAAGTGAAAAGGGGTTAACGATACAGTATACTGTTATGGATAACCCACACGCGTTGCACTAGTAATATGAGGCCATGTTGTAAGGTGAGCATTAATGTTTATTAAGTCAAATAAACAAGAATCATCAATCAAAACCCACACAGACTCATGTTTTATTAAATGTAAAACAGAAAGACAAACTTACCTCAAACACGACAGAAAGCAGCCACGCAGCAGCCCGCCAATTCGTCTCGTCTCAGATCCAAAGTGCGCAGTTAGACTTGTCCAAACGCGCATGTGCGGATTCAAACGCGCTATGCTTTTCTATTAAAATTTACTTAGAATTACTATGTTTATGTGAAGGGACTATAAAACGTTTAAATATTACAATAAAATATATAATAAGATTTACTCTTTCCAACCAGTTAATTTATTACATGAATTAAACGCGTAGATATTTAAAATTTTACTTAGAAAATTCTAGTTCACATTGAATTTTAATTTTATTAAGTAAAAATTATGATGATTCATTTAATATATATTACTACACCAAAAAGTTCGTTTTTACAGTGTATAGAATTTACTTATTTTTATTATTCTTGCCTGAACTAGCTTTTTTCATGTACATTACGTTGTTGTTTTTTTTCTGTAGTATTTACTGTACTTCACCACAAAATAATTTTTATCAGTGTAACCAACACTGGAGTACTTTGCTCCTTTTTTTCCAATAAGTGACATTCCACTAATATTTCACGTAGTTAGCACTATTTAGCATCAATGTCTGTGGGCAGTGGCACTGCAACTGTTCGCCTCAGATAAGTTGGAGTCCGAGGTACGTCACCTATGGTTAGAACTGACGTTTGAAAACTGTAAACGCGTCTGCCAAATGAATAAATATAACATAAGAATAGAATGATCTGCGAGCTAGTTGGTTGCACGTCAGAGGCGCCAGTGCCATTGGATGTGCAGTTGCTGCAACACAGCCTATGAGCAAGCTGTGCAGCTGCAAATGTGTTTTGCATACAGGCTTCAGTAAATCAAGGTAAAGGAGTTTCAACATAAGAATGATACTGATGGTAAAAAGTAGTCTAGTCTTGTAATGTACAAATAGCTGAGGCTCTTTGGCTGAAGAGGCGTGTCCACTGGCCAGCTCAGTCTCACCCAAAGCCCGCCCTTTTACCCATATATGGATTCGCCAAAAGGTGGGCGGGGTTAGGATTTCTCAAGGTTTTCCAAGATGGTGTGACCATACCCCCCATAAACGGCCTCAAAACCAACGCATTCTCACCCCAAGGCGTCACCTTTGACCATGCTTCAATATTTGACGTTTTAGGCGCCCTTTAGCGTCACTTACATGACGCGATCCTATGGCGTCATCTAACTGACGCTAAAGGAAAGCGTCAGTTAGAGGACGCGGTTAGGTTTAGGTGTGGGGTGGGGGTAGGGTACACGCGATCCTAGGGCGTCATCTAACTGACGCTAAAGGGCGCCTAAAGCGTCAGATATTGAAGCATGTCCAAATGCTTCCCAAGGCGTCAGTTAGGTGACGCCTTGGGAGTGAGAATGGGCTGTCAAAACTGTTTTTCAGAAAGTATATGGGTGACGTCACAGGCCCTTTGTCCATATTTTTTACAGTCTACAGATAGAATTGATTTTGAATTTATTTATTAACTGATAAATTTATTAACGGATACAAATGAAGGGCCTTAAAATGAATGCTTCAGTTTTGAGCTGCAAATGATATATTTACATTCATTTGAAGTTGCCCTGGAAACCTACTATTTTTAAAAGTTGAATAAGTCCACTCATACACCACATTTTATGATCATGTGTTTTAAGACGGCAAACATTTTTTGAAAGTAAACAGTAAACATGAATGCCCACTTGCATATATTATTATCATCATTATTATTATGTCTATGTATTACCATCATGAGTCCATTACTCTCTAAAAGAATATTTTGTATTTAAGGCCATTGATATGGCTGAATTTTTGATCTTATTTGAGTGTACAACATTTTTTATCTCACAGAAATTGTTTTTTTTAAGAATGTGAAAAATTGCTCTGCATCCAATTTGTACATTATTATTATTACCATTCATTTCTGAGAATTAGATAATGACCATTCTAATAGGAAAAGTTGCAAGCCATCATTTACCCCATTGTACACAATTCTGCAATTGTTTTCAAAAGTCTTGTTTGCATAATTCAGTCATGCCTGTCCAATGCAAGGAGGGCTGTTTCTATTTGTAGTTATTTGCATAACTGCCATGTTTGAGTGCAATTATTTTTGCATAGCAAGCAGAGTAAATGACTAGTTTAGCCAGTGGAAAGTTTGTTGGTGAGATGACAGATGACAGACAGTAAATCGCAAACTCTAATGCACTCATTTCCCTGTCTGCATCCACCATGACTTTCAATTACATAAGTGTTGTGCCTTTAAGAGTAGGCTACTGCTTTTGCTGCTTGCACAAACATGCTGACGTTACGTCTCGAGAGTTATCGTTTCAAGCTGCATTTTCTCTTTTTTTCTCTTAACATAACCATATGAGATTGAGATTGTTTTTTTAATCAAAGACAGGCCCATCAATTATTCTTTGTTATCCCTTCAGATGAAAGACCCTTTTTCATATCAGTCAGTTTGCGGTTTGGTGTGGAGTGTAATTCACTTTGTTGTGGCTTGTCTCTTCATGCATAAGAACCAACAGAGCTTTGAAGGTTCAGTCTGGTTCTTTCTAGTCTCATGTTTGTAGTCCTTTAATGCAAAAAAATTGTTTGACTGAAATTTGTATATACCGTTGTAATCAAAGTTATTCAACACCTATTGCAAATCAGGATTAGATTTGCAGCATTTAGTTGTTTGCTAAAGATGTTTTCCATGTAGGGGTTAAATAATTTTCAGACTGCATAAGTCATTAAAAGTTGCGTTTGGGGAAACCACTTGAAACATTTGTTGTGTTGAGCTATTTCAATTCCTTTTGTTTCAATTGTTTTTGCAGCTAAAAGTCTGTAAACTTTGGCAATAAACCTGATTTGCAATGTGTCACAAACAGGAAGAGAGGTGCACACAGTGTTTATTAAAAGCAGAGTGGTGGTGGAACGATGGGAACAATGGTGAGAGGATGATGGACTTGACTTAGCTGGCAATGACTGAAGTGGATTCTCTGTGTAGGTGATGAGTGAACACGAAGACAGGCGATCAGGATCAGAAGACTGGATAAGGAGATTGGTTACACAGCCCATTCTCATCCCAAGGCGCCATCTAACTGACGCCTTGGGAAGCATTTTGACCATTCTTCAATATATGACGCTTTAGGCACCCTTTAGCGTCAGTTACATGACACTAAAGTTAAAGTGTCAGTTAGATGACGCATCTAACCCTAACCCTACCACAGAACTAAACCTAATCACATCATTTACCTGACGCTTTACCTTTAGCGTCAGTTAGATGACGCCCTAGGATCGTGTCATGTAATGCCGAGTTCAGACTGCATGATTTTAGCCACGATTTTGGCTCGCCGACAGGTTTTGAGAAATCGCCGACAAATGCCCGAAATCACAGGCAAATCGGCGCTCGTTCACGCGAGTGACAATCACGCAGTGTGAATGAACAAAGACGCGAACTGAGAGAATCACCGACGAGTCGCCGACGCCCGTGAGATATTTGGCATGCTAAATATCTGGACCTGTCGGCGATTCAAAATCCTGCTGTGTGAAAAGTGTTTTGACTGAAAACTACATCGGCGATCACCGGCAGCCAGTGAGAGAGCAAGATACAGAGCAGCACACTCAAAAAAATGATTCATTGGATGAACTCAATTAAGTTGTGGGCAGGATTTCCATCCAATAAATATATGTAGTCCCAACTCAAATTGAGTACATCCATTCAACAGAATTTAAATGAGTTAGCCTAACTTATTTTTATCAAATACTTACAACAGTATGTAATTGAGTTCTCCTAACTAAATTTTACCAAATACAGCTGAAATAAAATAATTACATTAACTAAATGAAATTGATTTTCATTTGACCAACTCAAACTTACTTAATTATTGGAAATTATCATCAATTAAACATATAAATCATTTTTCATTTGATCCATTAACATACACGTGAGACAAAACTGTTTTTTTATTTTTATTTTATTTTTTATTGAAATACATTTACATTTGAACTTCATTTCCTTAGAACCCCTCCAATCAAAAAATGTTTTTTTTTTCCTGTTGGATGTTTGAGTTTCACCATGGTGAATGATGCCAAATAGAATGAACTTGACTCCACAACTCCAACGTCCTCAGGCTCCTGATCCCCATCACTTCCGGTCACATGACTGTGGTTGCTAGGTCCCTTTCTGCATCCTCGGTCGCCAGTGCCTGAACACCACAAACACAGAAAACACAGCAAGTGTTAAATAAAGATGGACATAGAAATAAGGTGACATAAAGTGATGCAAGGCTCCACAGGTGATGGCATCAGACACAAAAATACATATAGAAAAGCATTTGTCCATTATCAACAGCACAACTTCATCCCCCAGGCCAACAGAACTCTAAACAATCTCCCCACTCCAAGCACACACACTCACACTCCCCCCCCCTAAATTCAAAAAACATGTACGATCACTTGTCTACAGCAGTACATAAGAACACCTCTGTAGGGCTGCTTAGGGCTGGGCGATTTGGCCTAAAAAATCCCAGATTTTTTCACAAAAATATCCGATTTACGATTTAAAACTATTTTTTTCCTCTCCCTACTTAAAATCAATCTGTAGACGACAAAGAAATTGTTCAAAACAAGTTTTAACTTTATTACCTTCTGGGATATTATCTGGATTAAAGTGCAATCAGAAACAACAAGCCAAAAAGACAAGAGGGCAGGCACTGTCATTGTAAATAGTGTAAATATAACATAACATAAAATGGGTGGATTGGGGGGATGTGTAAAAAAAAAAAAAAACTCACAATGTTTATTGTGATTGTCAAAGTATTTGGTAACTAAACAATTTTATTAAGTTTATTAACTATGTAACACAATGTTTACATGGTACAAAGACTGGTATGCTATTGTTTTTATTATTGCTTAATACAAATTTTAATTCAATTCTTGTGATTTGATTCGGATATTGATTCAATATCAATTCGTTTGGGTAAATATTAGGTACAGTAGATATCCTACCTTAATGTGTTATGTTAATTGTTCTCCAAAAATAAATCACTTAATGCTATAATACAGAGAGACCCTGTCAGCTGGTATTAGGTTTAAAGGTTAAAACCAACTCAAATTAAATATGTGTTTTTATAACAACAAACAACATTATAATATTTGAA